ATTTCTCATTATGAAGGGACGGACACATCTCTGACAGTTGTCCTACACGCATGTCGCACAACCAACCCTGCACAAGTTGGTCCAGCTAGGCTAAGAAGGGGTGCTGCAGATATTCTACTCAGTATACCTCTGGCTATCAACTATCACTTTTTTGGGATAGTTCCCTTGAAGAGAAATGCTTCAAAACACAACCCGATGCTAAAACGACCTTCCCTCAGTTCACCGCCTCCAGGGCTCCAGCATTCTGAACAAAGGTACCACTGAAACGTCTTCTTATAGCGGAAGGTTAGCGCATTCAAACGATTTTTATTTCAACCGGAAAGGTTTGGTTTAAGCCGAGATACATGCATTTGGAAATTCGGGGTCGGAAAACGACAGAACTTTCTGAAACGCGTAATACAATGATTAGAGCATTTAATTAGATTGATTAGGAGTACCTGAAAAAGAGACAACTGCAAGTTTCTTGTGCGAATGGTCGCCTTATCGATTTGGGATCCTTGCTTTTATAATTAGTATTGTATATTTTTCGACTTTTAGGAGTAGTGAATCCCAACCACTGCATTGAGGAATGGATAGACGACCGAGTTGACGTTGTATTTTATGAACGCTTCTTCAATTGGGAAATTGCTGCCTCTAGTTTCTTGGTTTGATATTAACTAAATTTAAGTTCTTAACTCAAGGAATGTTGTATTCTTCTGGCATTTTTAGATCCGCAATAGTGAATTTGGAAGAAGTTTTCTGAAGGGCTGGGCAGATCGCGAATTTACGCTCCACAACAAATGGCATGGCTCTGACAACGGAGTTCTCCATGTATATTTTTCTTTTGCTTCATGATAACTTCTTCACAGAACACCACCACAATAGGTTGGGCTGAAGCGGTGCACGAAATACTCGAAACGAAGTCTGTCGCGCTGCGAGAAGGCAGAGACGCAGATGGATCAGCGAACGAGTATAGTGCTGTACTACAGTACATTTTATTTAAACCCACCCTAAATCGCTACGGTACAGTTGCGCGAGTCCTCCGCTGACCCGTGCACATCTCTGCCATCTCTCCGCGCGACGGGCCTCCTGTAGGGCTCCCAACTGCACGTCCGGCCTATTCAGTCAGGAGATATTCTGCTCACGGCAAGGGGCAAGGTCGTGAATACAGTGAACAGCTTGTGAAATCGTCAAGGTATTGACATTTTTCATAAACGAAGGTGGAAATTGGCGAGGACAGTGGGTTCCTCTGTTCGGGCTTTCACAATGCTACGACAAAGATCAGAATGGCATTCACAAGTGGCAGTTTTAAAAAAGGTTCCAATGGTATAGCCTACTCTTTGACGAATTTTAAAGAATTCAGGATTCGAGTGAACGTCCAGTATTTGTTCACGGTACCTACTTACCACGGCATTCTGCGATGTGCTTCGCTGATCCCCCGATTTTCCCCATTTTCCTAGTTCCCGTCTATAACATAGTATTTTCCAGCTCCATGTCATAGACACTGTGCTTCCGGATGCAGTGCAGGAGAGGGCCAACTGTTACAAAGAATGGCGCAGTGCAACAAGTTATGAAACCTACATAGCTCTCGTGTCATGTGCAAAGCAGGTAATTGGAGCAACAAGATTATGGCCAGGAAAGCTTCGAATATACAGAAGAGCTCATGGATGGGCTCGAGACTATTTTCTAGCCGACAGCAAGTAAGTTGATTTCTTTGGCAGATCGGGAATTGGCTTGAAAATACTAACAATATGACACGATAAAAAATGATCCGATCCTGTGAGACGCGCCCTATTCAAATTTCATTCAAAGTCATGGAGGTATTCAAATATGCATTTTTTCTACACGTTTGCCAGGTCACACAGTAACCATGTCGAATTTTTTGTCTTCTTAGAAGGAACTGTGTCAAAACTGCACCGCTAACCATAGGCACTGTTGTCTATCCAAGAAGATTAAGGTTATAGGTTACATCTCCCCCCCCCCTCCAGCGTTTCCGCCCTAGTGTTGTTAAAACGCTAGAGGGGGATGCTTGGTAGGGTAGCTTACAAAATCAAAAGTTTTGAGCTACTGGCTTCTGAAAAAGATCAACGAGACGAGACGTCTGGCCAAATAATAAAGGTTCAATTATCCTCGCACAGAAGAATCGAACAATTCGACCAATAATTCGTCTTATACCGAGGATCCAACAAGGGATAACGTGAAGGCCATTGACAGTGCATTGGGTCAAAAGTTGCTCTAGATGCTTTACTTCTGCTAGTCTCTCATTCCCATTATTATCATCCTATTTTATACAAAGTGCCATACATCAGCTAAGCGGAGCTTCGCTCACAGTGGGCGTGACGTGCATCAAAATGAACTGTACTGACGACCGTAATTCCAAATTCTATTACAAAACAGCTTCGAAGCTGAAGAACTAGGGAGACCCACCTTTGGGGGCGAGGTGTTCTCTAAAAGCAGTGTTTTATGAAAAATTCATAACTCGGTTGGGAGAAAGCCTACAGAGCAGAAAACAATTTGGTGTAAGGGAGCAATGTCTAAGGTGTTTCCAGCATACATGACGTGGGCGGAGGCCCGCCCACAATGGGCGGGGCGTGCTCCGCCCGCTTCTGCTCCTGAGATACACAGCGTTTTCTGCTAGTCCCCTTAATTCGGTTTTGAGAAGCCTTGGAAGGCGGAAAAAAGGTGGCAGAGGTCAGAGAAGGAGAGGACGCTGAATGTTAATCATGGCCAGCACAAGGAAGCTATAACTCTGTCCTGTAGACTGAGAAAAAATGGGCTGAGTTCGCAATCAACAAGGATAACTACTGTTAGTGGGCTGGACTTGCACAGAAGTGGACGTAGTTATTCACGAAGCGTTAGGTGGGTTCCAAGAAGTCATGGAAACCAGGGAAATGAATAGGGGTCGGCGAAAGGAAGGAAGACAACCTCTATTGGTGGGCGCGGCAACCAACCAAGTGGGCTGAGTTCGCTACTAACTTATAAATCGGTTCCAAGAAATCCCGGAGAGTGGGGAAAAAAGAGGATAGAGGTCAGCAAAGGGAAGGAGATTGACTGCTCTTGGTGGGCGAGGCATGTGCGAAGTGGGTGGATTTGTCCACGATGAATTATAACTAGGTTTCAAACTTCATGAAGACTGGG